TCCAGAAGCTCCATACTGTACCAACTGCCAAAAGAGTGAAAAGTGTCTCAAACAATGCGCCGTTAATCTTGCTGCCGGAGGCGTGGCAGAGGTGAACGCTGATCACGTATTCGAAGATTTGTCCGATGGCGAACAACAAGGCGGCAGCAGTCAAGTAGACTATAGACAAGTTAGGGAGTCGGATGAAACACAACAACGTTATCCGAAAATAGGTTGTAAACTTACTCATTGGTCGAACTTCGCCCAAGATCCGAATAACCAGGATAGCTTCCAACACGTAAAACGCGACGAGGCAGATGAGAGGAAAGAGTTGGTACAGCACATAGAGAGCAATGTTGCGATAATTGTTTGCCTCGGTTGTCGCGAATTCACCCGTCCAGTCAAAAGCCGTGTCCAGGGCAATATAGCCCGTACCGATGAAGAGAACCAGGGCGGAGGCAAGGATTAGACCGATTGAGGCCGGGGTACCGTCGTCGAGGAATTGATAGCCTACCACGGCATTCAGAAAGAGAATCCAGCACGTTGCGGTGATTGCAGCGACATGTGCAGCCGAGAAGCCCTATGCATGTTGATTAGAGACAGCAATCCGTGTGAGGAGTCGCACGACTAACCTTGCGCACTGCTGCATCCAGAGGGAAGCCGCCCACAGAGAAGATCTCACAGATTTCGACAACGATAAATGCCAGCAAAAATATTTGCATTTCCCTACTCCAATCAGCATTTCCCCTCCTTTTTTCCTCATCCAATCGTTTGTCGCGTACCTCCTTCCGACTGCCGCCCGTTTGCGATCCGACCTGAACAGCAGGAACAGCGATACTAGGATGGAAATGAACGCGAGAAGGATCGAGCCTGTATAGGTTAGCGCTAGGACGTCGAGAATGAGCATGTCTGGCGTGCCATACCCAGATTGCTGAGGTAGCGATTATCGCTGAGCACGATGCCGTGAAGCGGGCATCCTCCGTATGCTTCATTAGGGGGTTGATTGTTGGAGACAAAGAGCTATCGGAAGCACATGGTCAGCCACATGGAATGTATAAATTGAGCATTGACAGCCGATGACAGAAACAGAAAAAGGAAATTGGGGATAAAGTAAATTGAGGAAGACGTACATTGCAGACGGGCAGTGTGGAATCTCGACAAAAGTCCTGCACATGCAGATCATTCACGGTCAGCTTCTTCCAGGTTCTGGCAGATGCAAACGATAGATCAATCGCAAACCCACGTTGAAATTTCCAAACTGTGTCGAACCCATGGCTAAAGAGGCACGAAGCGCGACACCATGCAACAAAGGTCACGGAGAGCAGGCGTGGTCAGACGGTGGTGGTGGTGGTGACGGTGAATAATTCGATCGAGTTCGGCAGACCCACGTCGGTCACGATGGCTCCGCTGCAGATCTGGAATGTGGGAACAAAAGAGGGCACCAATTATGATTACAAAGTAGGGCGATAAGGAGCAATAAGAATTAATTTAATCAGGGTGGAAAGATTCAGTTGAAACAACTGGAGAAAGAATGGGACCAACAGGGGGAGAGAGTGAGAGAGACAGGCTGCTCACGAAAAGGGAAATGAAGAGAAGGAAGAGAGACCAGGGGGGGCAAGGGAGGGCCTGAGAGGCCGGGTTCACAACTCGACGTGCAGTCGGACAGTTGAGAGAAAGCGGGAAAAGATGGAGCGGGTTAATCGGGGGATTGTAAGACTCAAGGAGCCGGAAGGGAAAGGAAGGGTAAATATCAGCAACTCGAGGGAGACCGAAGCGTGAGCCAAAGAATTGTGAAAGCGATAATCTCAAACACCGGCGCGGGTGGGTGATCTGTAGGGCCGAGTGGGTATGTGTAGTAGTAGTAGTATTGTAGTATGTGGGGGGACGGGAACAGCAGCGTCGTCAAATAACGAAGTCATACACAAGTCTAGAAGACTGTGTGAAAGGATGAACGATCGATCGGGATGAGATGAGAATAGAGACAGCAAGATAGAGACAACGGAGCGAGGAGGGGGAGTAGAACAAGAAGGAAAAGAAGATGCTGAGCCACGCTGTCCGGGCGAAGAGCGTCGGAAGAAAGCAAAAGAGAGAGAGAGAAAGAAAGGAAGAAGGGGAGGGGAAATGATGGAGAGATACCAACTAATCCAGCAACAAGAAGTAGACTAATCAATGTCTAGCCTAGTCTAAAAAGTCCACACGAGATGCTTTGCTGTGCTGGAAAACAGAGCGTCCAGGAAAGCTGGAATTAGTTCCAGTTAGGCGCGGGTTAGCGTTGGATGGGAGATCTTTCGGCTCACGATGATAGGCAGTGCGAGTCCAATTCCCACCAGCCAGTCTAAGACCCAGAGGGAAGAAGGCCCGTTGCGCGACGCCATCCACAGCCAACGAATGGCCCCTAAATAAGGCATTGTCCGTCAAAAGCCCTGCAGCTGAAGCGCAGCAGATCCAGGAACCAGATAGGCTGAAGCGGGAATTACTTCATGCGGCTGGCAGAGTCTATGAACAGAGACAGCGCCTTGGCTGTCTCTATGCCTATACTAACTAATCAACAAAAACATTCATACAAACTACTACACAACCCCCTGTGCTTGACCTCAGCAGAGTTTGACCCCCTGTGGAAAACATGTCCTGACTTGCACTTCAGTACCATGGATTATGTTCTCCTTTTTCGCCATCCATGGCTCGGGCTTCCTGAGTTTTTCTCCAGTTTCTATTCTGGTTCCGCCCTCAACCCGCATCCTAGTCAAGTCATGAATCATGGTAGAGAACTCGCTACATACTTACGTACGTACTGTCCGTCTCTGGCTGGGGCTAAGAATAGCAGTGACAGGCAACATTTCTTGGGACCTTGATTGATCTTGCATGAAAATTCGGATGTGGAATGCCGCTGCGATCTTCTTCCATCCTTCGACTGTATGATGTGTCTTAACCCGCGCGGTTCCTTCGCCGAATGACGCCTGCAGGCTCCCTCCCCCCCAGCCACACCAACCCGTCGGTCAGCATGGTTCAACAACATCCATCCTATTCAATCTTACTTATGCTTCCTGGAAACTATCTGATGCTGCATGATTTCATGTTCTCTGTACTAGTAACATGCATGTCCCGCTTGAACTAGATCTCACCCAATCTCACTCATCCGATGGGACTCTCAGCCACTGTGTGCGCCCCGCTTGTCCCCTCGGAAGGGTCATCAGCCAGGATCTGTCTTTCATTTGTCTGCTCGCCCTTGCATCTATATCCAATTGATCATACTACAAAGGAATTGTTCAAAGGGAGGGTCGGAGAGTAATATTGCCCTTGTAAACTAGTAGATAGAACAATCTGCAGGTCGGAGAATGCCGTCTATGGCCAAACATGGTGGGCAGATGATGGAGTCGTCACACCGATTTAGTTTCCCGATATATCGTCGTTGCCTATTGCTACCATCCAATCCACCTACTGCACAGAGTCCGCGGATCGCATCATCCTCTAGCACACATCTTCGATCTTCAACTCCTTCCCATCATGCTCTCCCAGATCCAGCTTCAGCGTCCGTCCGAACAATTCCAGCAACATCTCAAAGCACACCTTGGTAATAGCAGGGTCATACCGTCCCTTGCTGAGCTCATCGCGAATGAAGGCGTCTATTGAACCCTTGTCAGCACACCCCCGTTCTACTCCCCCTTCCTAAACAGGGAAAACATGGAGAACCTACGTTGAGCCCAAGCCACCTCGTAAAAGCCAAACAAGACTCCCTTGTCATGAAGGGTCTTGCGGATCAAATCCCTTCCCTCGGGCGGAACATGGGTATCATTCTTTCCAAAAATCTGCGATAACACACAAACAATCCTTCCCGTTAGTACTTCAATTCCCTCACGCATGCGAAGCGGACTTATAAAATAAACGGAAGGGCGGGGATCCTATCTCACCATGAGCATCTCGCCCTTGATATCCCCTGCCCGGGCCAAACTATCATCATTCTTCCCCAGCCCCAACGTCTTACTATGGATGTCCGTGGCGAAGTAGCACACCGCCGCTTTCACGCGGCTGTCCAACGCGCAGCGATACGCCAGATGTCCACCCAGGCACATACCCGTCGCACCTACACGACCATTGCACGTGGGCAGTGACAGTAGATAGTCGACGCACAATGAGGCGTCCTCATCGTAAGCCGCAATTTTCTATATGGATAAAAATCCCTCAGCATGGGCCTTTCCATAGTTCATTTCACAAATCAAACTGTATATAATTTAACAGGTAATTTACTCACCTTACTAATTTTCCATTGATTGCCCTTGTCCGTATCTTCGGCATCATACTTCAACGGCTCGGGACCCGTGAATTCATGATAGCTCGAGGGCGCCGCGCAGATATATCCTTGTCCGGCGATTTGTCGAGCAAATCGTGCGACAGGGCCAGTTACTGTATGTATAGGTGTTATCGATAATCGTATCTTCTCGTTATAGGGTAACTTCCTAGAATCTACTTGAAAGATCGGGCTCTCAACTTACCTTGATAGATTTCACTAAACACAACTACACCCGGGAACCGCGCCTTAGGGTACCCGGGAATAGTAGGGTGGAAGACATAAATACCTGAATTGAGAACCAAGTCAGCAATGATCAATTGAATGAATGAGTTACTAGTCATCCTCCATTGTAGCCGCAGCTACTGGTGAATTAAAGGTAAATATCAAATCTCAAATTACTAGTGGATAACATACGCATAGTTCCATTGCCGTCCGCCTTGGTCGGCACATCATGGAAAGATTCCTGAATCAACATGGTAGATTAAGATGTATACTGTTGTAGATAGAGCGTAGTATGAAATTATTCAATGTTCGAGGGGGTTCAGGATAAGTAACAGATTGGCAATCGAAGTGTTTTGATCCGCTTAGAGCGTTATGGCGGGGTTCAGTTGTTGTTGGGACTGATATTCTTGCGATAAGATTCCCGGAAATGGAGGGGTAGTCATGTGATTTGAAGTTGGGGAAAGCATTGGGATCACGATATAGAAATCAACTAACATAAATCTTCTACGGCAGGGAGATGAATTGTACATTGTTTGGACTGCAGTTTGGTCATATGATATCCATTTGGTATTATGTTAATTAGGGTACAGTAAAATGCTTGCTACCTAATGGTTGCAACTAGGTTCGGGAATACATCAAAGATGAAAGAAGCCGAATCAAGGGAAAAGAAAGAAAAAATAAAGAAGCAATCTAATAATGTACATAGAATGTTCATAATCTAACAGGAAAGGGTGAAATGCGACCCTTGAGGAATTATCCTCATGCAGAACTAAAATCAAGACATAATGCATGTACTGTAGCGTATTCGAGTCAGGACTCGAGCGCATGGATCGAGCAAATAAGAGAGATTACAACAAGATATGATAAGATCGGTCAAAAGCAATGAAGCTTGTAAATGTAAGGCCCTACCTTCATCTCAGACTAGGAGATATGAAACCCCAGGTTGCGCTGCGAGGAGAGGGCTGGCGCATCGAGACGCTTAGAACACATACTAGCCATAGACGTCAGCGGTCGGTCTGCATAATCAACACTCGGCAGTTCACTTACCGGGATAAACAGGTAAGGAACCTGTCTCTCGTACTCCCTCCAGGCCTCGCCGTACTTGTTCCGGCAACGCTCGATATCACGCATCGCACGGTGAGTGATCATGCAGGCGAAGAACAGAGGATAGAACCAAGGGAAGGGGCTACTGAACCCAGTAATGAGGCCCCAATTAAGGGCAAAGTACAGGTCACAGGTGTAGTGGATCTTGCGTGCCTTGCCATCTGCAGAGTGTCGAGTTTAGCGCAATGTATGACGATAAAGGTGAAAATATGAGCATAACTTACACCAGCCGTCGACGAGGATCTTCGAACCATCCTCAGCCGTGATAGTCTTGGGGTTCTTCAGGGTCTGCCAAGGCAGCTGAGGGAAAGTGCTGCGGAACACCATCGTTCCACGCTCCTGTTGGCGGTAACGGTTCTTCTGACTATTGGTCGTATCCCACACCCAGTACACGAAGAGGTAGGCGACGTAGAGGAATGTGAGGAAGTAGCGGTTCCAGTGGTACGTGGCCGGGTCGTGGTTGGCCAGGTAGATTGTGCAGTGGCAGTAGCTCAGGGGAACACCAGCGAGGTTCCAGAAGATCAGCATGAAACCCCATTTTTCGTAGTACATGTCCCTGCAAACCAATTAGACTGTGACACACAGTCGCAGGTTGTGGGAAGTACTTACCATGTAGACACAATGCACTCTTCACCCTTAGAGCAGGCGTTCGCATACAAGAAGTGCGCCATGAGAAGGAAACCAACTTCACCAGAGACGTAGCCGTAGACTTCATACTGTCTGGCCGCGGCACCCAAGGTAACGAAGAGCAGAATGTACCAAGGAAGGCGAACTTCAAAGAACATTTTGAAGTCCAGAATGCCAAACATTCTGGGGTTGAGCTCGGCACCCATGAAGAAATCGTAGACGTGGTGCCCGGTCATGCGATGTTGCGCCCCGCGTGCCAATGCCGAAAAGTAGGCCACGAAAGCAACAAGGAACCCAGAAAGGATAGCGACGCTCATGAGAGGGCCGAACTCGTCAATGATAGTGTACAACTTGAAGATACCAGTAATATGAAGCAGGGAGGCCAGCGCGATAGTGGTGTAGAAGGACCAAACAGCAGAGCAGTAGTATGGCAGCTGCTTGCCTCCCAAGTGCGGCAAAGGGCGACCCATCACGGTGATACCGGGGAGATAGAGGTAGCAAATTCCCTCAAAGATGAAGAACACCCAGTAGATCGTCCAAGCCTTGAGAGACGGGAAAGCACCTTCATATACCAGGTGTCCCAGATGCGCAAAGAAGTCCGACATACTTTGTCCTTCGGCGGGGCGAGGAAACTTGCCATCGTAGTAGGTGGCACCAATCCACATGTAGTACATCAGTAGCGGAAATCCGATCATCATGGACGCGACACCGAAGGATCCTCCAAATTCAAAGTGGCCACTGTAGTCGACTTTGGGGTCCTTCCCTTCTTCCCACCCGTCCACAATCCGAGCCTTTTTGACATCAGAACCGTCGGCATGACCATTGGAGGGCTTTGATTCTTCCTCCACAGGTTCAGTCTTGATCTTGACAGAAGTGCGTCTCCGGGTTGTCGACTTCGATCCTTCAGCTGTTGAGTCGGAAGGCTCCTCCGACAATCTGGCGCTGGCGCTGCGGGTTACTCGGCGGCCAGGTGTCTCGACGAAGCCGGGCCGCTCCATTTTCCTAGAGGGATTGATTGACCGGTAAGCCAAAGACAATCAATTGCAACAAGCAGATTGAAGGGCTCGCATGCGAAGCGCGATTGGGGTAGACCGAAGACAGGGTACTATTCACGACTGGGGTTCCTCACTCGGTCCCTGATTCATCGTGCCTTCTCGTTTCTCCCATGGAACTCTCACTCCCTTGCGCAGCTGGATGACTTACTTTGGGGTTTTCCCCGTTTGGGATCGAGTGATGGTCATTGTGTGCTGACCATAAGAGGCCTCAAGCCGAGGGTTCTATAATGATTGAGTGTAAGCGAAGGGAAGAATGGGCACAATTGATGCGAGCAGAAGGTTAGGGAGACGAGGGAGAATCTTTAGGCGGTCGCAAGGAAGAACAACAACAACATTCAAATTGGGGATGCACTAAAAGGGAGTGGGTGCGTTGCCCGCTGCGGCAGGATCATCGGCCCTGGAGCTTATTACCGCAACCAACAATACTACCCGTGCCGGACTTGTACAATCCCACAATCATGAAAGGGGCAAGGGTCCAATATGAAAGCACGGACTATCATAGATGAACGGATCAATTTAATGGATCAATAATACTAACTACTAGTACGTACTATCAGGTTATACAGTAGGGTCATGGCCCGCTGGCACCATACAACAGAGTACATATTTTACCAACAAAACAGACAGGAACAGCAGCAGCCATCCGATACCTGGCAATCATGTAAGCAGTTCAATATGTTAAACTGCCATGCATATACAACCTCACGGGTGGCGACATGCCTTATTTGATATGAGCCCAGCTATGCTTGTGTAAGCATAAATATACTGTATTCTGGTAACTTATATGGTGAGGCATGCGTGTTCTTTCGCGGAAGAGCAGTGGGTAACTAAACTATCTAGTAAGTAGTGTAAACCCGTGCCTTAATCGCCTGCCGTACAGCACGTGCCTGAGGCTCCGGCCGGCCGCCAAGGCATGACATACTCGCCCCTCCCTCAATCTGTCTCTCCTCTTCCGCTCTGCCTCTGCTACTTTTTACGGTAGGGGAAGCTTCAGGGTTCTGGTGCTTCTCCTCTCCTGGTGCTGCCCTTGGGGCTTCTGTAGCCCTTCTCTTGACTTTTCATTGTTCAGATTTTTTCTTGCTCAACCACAATCCCCCACCTGCCTCAGTCGGAGGCTGTACCGCGACTCTAGTCATATCTCCGCATTTTCCTTCCATAACTGCTTTTTTTGCCCCCGCCATACGAAGGTACTTTCACGCCTTTACCTTAAAAGGCAGAGTGAATAATGTCGGGCAATCCTAGTCAGATTCCTACCACATCTATGAAAGCGGTGAACATTCCGAGTCAGCCAGCCTCTGCGACATTAACTCCATCGTCATTCGATAGCGGCTCTCCGCGGTCTCAGCGGCGCCCGGGAGGCTCTGGCAGCTTTGGAGCTGGGTTGACATCTCAGGCTAGAAACTCAGGCTCTCCTAGGCACAATCAAGCTCTCAGGAGTCAGCATAAACGACAGAGGCGTCCTCGATTGCTAGATGATGAGGATTATAGCGAATCGGTACGTGTCTCGAATTCTAGGGAGTGGCTACAGCTACATCACGCTCACTCGAGCCTCACTCGAGCCACACTATCCTGCCACACTTCCCGCCCTTGTATTATCCCCACCTGATGCTCTTTGTGATTCCGTATGCGTAAAGCCTTGGGAAGCTTCCTTGAGATCACCTGGACATCATATACGCGAAGGGGCTTACATAAGATGCTGAAGGAGGGGCCTGCGCATACAAGATAATCTGGGGGTTGTAGCAGAAGTGCGAACAATGTGGCTGGAGTCACTCACTAGGACTATCGCTATTGCTTTGCTATCCTTGTTTACTGACTCGTCCGTCTCCCCAGGCCATCATGAGATCCACGACCAGTCGCAAGGGACAGACGTCCATCACTCATCTGATGAACTTCTCCCTTCCCCCTCGTCCTCAGTACCATCCTCCACCCCGTAATACTCGCCGCTATACGTCCTGGGGTCCAGGTTCCGGCTACCATGCCATGGACAAATCCCGCTACGTTCATGCCAACTATCGCTTTATTGTGACGCCAAATCGCAACTACCATGCACAAGCGGCCAATGCTGATGTCCATCTTGACTGGGATTCAGTGATGCAGGTCTTGGTATCAGAGCAGACACAGTCAGCTAGCTGCCCCATCTGTTTGTCCACACCGGTAGCGCCACGCATGGCTCGTTGTGGTCATATATTCTGCCTTCCTTGTTTGATTCGCTACATGCATTCGACTGACGAGGAAAAACCGGTTCCTGAGAAGAAGCCACGATGGAAAAAGTGCCCCATCTGTTGGGACTCTGTGTACATTTCGGAAACTCGGCCTGTGCGATGGTTTCGTGGCCAAGAAGGGGACCTCCCATTCGAGGGGGGTGATGTCGTGCTAAGGCTAGTGAAAAGAGAGCCCGGAAGCACGTTAGCACTCCCACGGGATGGAGCTGAGGGAATAGCACCAGATGAGGATGTTCCGTGGTATCATGCTGCAGAAGTGGCTGATTACGCGCGCATAATGAAAGGAGGTGAAGATTATATGAAAGAACAATACGACATTGAGATTGATGAGCTCCGCAGGCAGGAGCTTGAGGATGAGCTTTTATTTGGAGATGATACTACTTGGACACGGAAGGCGGTTGCAGCAATTGCAGATGCCAAATCCAAGGTAGAGGGTATAGGGAACCCACCCGAGATTGTGCGACTGCCCGTCCCAAGCCAAGAGCCAAAGGAACCTGTCGCCGCACACTCACCACCAGAGGAAATTGCTGCCATGTATGCATCGCAGCATGCAATCAAGTCAGGCCAAAGTTCGTCTGCGGAGTCTATCCCCGCGTCAGATACTGGGCCTGGTTCGGCCTCCACTCCGGAGACGTCCAATGATGTGGATCGTACAGCCGAAGCTTTGGGCCAGGTTGACCTGAATACAACCTCTGCCCCGAAAAAGAAAAAGAGAGATCCTGGACACGGCCGAAATAATATGCCCTCAAAGCGAGGTCCTACTACATCTGACCATGCGTTCTTCTTCTACCAAGCTCTACCCCAATTCTACCTTTCGCCCTTGGACATCCGCATCTTGAAAGCTGCATTTGGCGATTACTCTTCATTCCCGGCCACCATTCTCCCTAGGGTTGAGCGTATTTCGAGCGGTCATATTGTGGACGACGAGCTACGCAAACGAGTCAAGTATCTCAGCCACCTGCCGCAAGGTTGTGAGGTGAACTTTCTCGAGTGTGACTGGAGAGACGTAGTTGTGCCGGAGGTGCTAGAAAATTTCAAGTCGGAAACTGAAAAGAGACGGAAGCGCAATAAGGAGAAAGAGGTGCGAGAAGAGAAGGATCGCATCCGAGCGGAGAAAGAAGAGGATGAAAAGCGCTGGGCAGCGGCGCGCCGGAAGAGGCCTAGCATTGGCCCCGTCGATGAACCTCCCTTCTCCGACCGCGATTTTCAGCCGTTATCGGGCTCTGCTGGCGAGCCTTCTGGCTTCGATATAGGCTCTTCCTCTGCATCCCCTCCGCCCTCCTCGAGTCCCCCCGGATCTCGTACGGTGTGGGGAACAGTTGCCGCTCCGACACTTTCGGCTCCGTCGAGCTCACAAGCCCCTGCCGATGGTTGGCTGCAGGGCTGGGAGGAGGAGCTGTGGGCCCAGCAAGAAAGGGAGCTCTTGGCTCAATCTGCTGCTGAGGCGAACACTCCAGCTTCTTCCTCTGGCGGGAAAAAGAAGAAGAATAAGAAAATTACACTCATGTCGACCAATATCCAAAGAGGGGCATAGAAGGTGCAACTATCTGTGCGTTCTTCGTCCACCAGCTTCTGGTGATCCACTTTGTCGTTTACAATCTTTTCTATACGGTATTTGTGGATTTTTCTCTACTTTATCACGAATATTATGTTATAATCATGTGTGGGGGGTTGTTTGCAGATACATTCTGGGAAGAGCATAGGTCAGGAGTCGAGAGTGTTTTTATGGAAATTTGATGGCTACATATGTGTACCAATTACAACAACTAGATAAAAATGATAAAGCAGCTAAGATTAGAGAAACCTCTTCTGTTGGGCTCTTTCGGAGTCACGACGCGTCTATCCAGATAGAAGGTACTAGTAACCTAGCTCTCTTTCCTGATCAGGAAGACACGGTGTCAGGAGAATACTGATCTGTGGGAGGTCTGGAGAAGATGAGAAGTATCATTATGATTCGATTTCAGAGTATGCTACTGCAAGCTTGCCTGTCACTATC